CAGGTAGAAGTCTCAGACTGTAGAGCCTGTGCATCTCTTTGCCTCTGTGTCCTCCCCCATCCTCATTGTCACCTGCCCAGTGCATCCTCCTGCATTTAAGAGGTTACCTTCTGGGTAAAGACTTCAGTGAAAAACTCCCTTCCATAGCACCACTCATCCTCTCACTCTCAAAGCTTTCTTCAGATTTCTGAAAAGATATCTAAATGTCTATCACTCTACTCAGATTAGAAACAGGAACTGCTTCTTATTTTCTCAGCATGCCTGTGCCCAGCAAGGTACCTGGCACACAATAGGCAGTAGACAACCAAGCAAACTGAAAAGTTTTCCATGCTGCAAATAACTTTCTTCCCAGTTTCTGGGAACTTTCCCTAGGCTAACCTAGTGCACACAGGAGGCCCAAGAAATAGATGAGGGTTCTTTCTCTAAGCCACACCAAGCATGCCCATAGAACAGATGGCATTCTTAGAAAGCAACACTTTGGGACATATCCCTAGGAGCCATTTGTTATAAACTTTCCCCATGGCTAACTCAAAACAAAATAGTATGGGGTTTGGAGCAGTAAAAAAAACAAAAAAAAATCTTTTCTATTTAATAGATTATCACAGAGTAAAAAGAGAAAAGGACAGAGTATGAGACAAAGAGCAGAAAATTAAGAGAGCAGAGCAAGGTATAAATAAGAAAGCCAGGTATGGTGGCACATGCCTGTAACCCCAGCTACTCAGAAGGCTCGGGTTGATGGATCACAAGTATCAAGAACTTCTCACAAAATAAAATTTAAAAGAGGCTAAGGTTGAAGCTCAGGGGTAGAGATCTTACTTATTCTTGGGCTAAAGCCCTGGGTTACAAGCACTACAGATAAATATATAAATGGGGAGTGGGGAGAGAACAAATTATCCAAGGCCAGACTCTGCTATCAGTTCACACCTCCTATTGCTCCCTGCTCCTTAGGAAACAGCCTCAACCAATCTTTTGCCTCTTTTTCACTTGTCTTTCTCTGTCCTTTCCACTGCTAACCAAAAACAAAAAGGAAATTTTGATTTGCACCAAAAAACTAAATTATGTGATTTTACTACTTACAAAAATCTATTGTGCCATTATTAATCCATATATTACATTAAGTAGTGCATATTTATTTTGTGCTGGCAAACAAAAAAATCAGAGTTGTTATATTTCTAAGACCAGTAACATCCAACAAATCAATTGTTTTATCACAAACTTTTTGAGAATTAATTCTCAATAAGATGACTTGTCTTTTCAGTTGTAAACCTGAGAGTGTTTCTTTCTTCAGCCATTTCCTCTAATATTCCACATCTGCAGATTTTAGTTCCAGAGTTAGATCAGACTGGAGAGTTTCTAATTTCTTGAACTCTCAGTTCTGATCTGATTCCTGCCCCCAGGGAAATATAATGCTGCTTCTGGAATCTTTCTAAACCACACAAGGGCTGTTGTGTAAGGACATTTCAGGGATCAGCGTTTATGATTCAGACCTATTCAACATCTAAGTTCCAGTATCTGTCCTTACCTTACCAGTGTTTGCCAGTGTCCTTATCTTGGTCAGTGTTTTGGCCTCCTGGTCTCTCCCTAATTCATGCTGTAGAAGCTAAATCAAAGAACTGATGAGATAATGTTTGCAAATACAGAGTATTGTTACAATTTCATATTATGACAGAGTATATTAGAGACTACAAGAATAGCTACAAAGGGAAGGACGGGTTAATGAATTTTCAGCAGTCATTTACAAATTAACCCAATATTTATTGAGTATCTATTATATGCTGAGTAATTTATTCTCCCACTCAATCTTTAGCTCTGTGACTTAGTCATCAGTTATCTCCACTTTAAAAGAGAAAATTGAAGCTCTGTGAGGAAATTCCCTTGCTCAAGAGCCACACTGCTAGTGAGTGTCACAGGATTTGAACTTAGGTACTTTGACTCCTGGTCCTGAATTCTTTCCACAACACCACTCTTTGTTGAAAAAAAAAAAAAAAAAAACTAGCATATTCCATGACTGGAAATTTGCCATCCATTATCTAATCCACTTTTTAATGTAAGCCTTACTGAAGTACATACATTTTTATTCTACTACAACTTCAAAAGATTACCTTGTCTCAACAAAACTAATGAAATTGAGAAATATTCCCTGTTCTTAGAATAATATCACTTAAGCAACAACTGGGAAAGGTAGAATTAGAGACTTGACGCTGTTCCCAGGATACTTTACAAACAGGAATAAACCCCTGCCTAGTGCAGACTACTCAGTGCCCCCCTCCTTTTGGACTAAATGGGGCCCTTTTACCGAGGAAGCTGCTAAAATGGCATCAGGCTATTAATGGGAAAAGCATTTACTTTAGATTAAGAAGAGTGTAAAGTAGGGCGGAGGGGGGCCCTCTATGACTGGCTATTAGAGATGTTAATTAAATATTTATAATGTCTAAATTAGCATAGTGAAAGCTCAATTCATCAATTTGTTCTGGTCTGTTTCTGAGGTGGGGGGGGGAATCTTCAAATGCCCCTGAAGAAAGATGCTATGTAGGTCAATAGAAAGATGACTGAACAATTTATTATGATTGTGGTAAACTTTTTATTTTGATTTTATTTAAAGGTACTTGTTGCAGCACCTTACCTTAAAGACCATTTACCACAGTCGATATACTGGAGGGCCATGCATTATTCATCGTTATCCAATGAAAAATTTGCTAAGGTGCTTCAATGCTGAATGCCTGATTGATTAATTGATTGCTTGATAGTTCCAAAAAGTAGGGACTGGGTTCAATGTTGAGAACTGGAGGCTGGGAGCTGATAGTCCTGGAACTTTCCTGTCTTACTAACTAGCCTGCTGAAGGACCTAGATTTCCAAGCCTTGAAATGGTATTTTTGCTAATAGAGCTGTTTCAAGCTTCATGGTTAGTAATTAAGAGGAATAGTTGGAGTTTCCTCAGAAAACTGCTAAGCGTGTGGCTGGCTTCTTCCTCCATCTAGTGTGGAGAAGCCAAGTATATTAATACCTAAATACCCACAATATCTGTTTGCTTAATGAATGTATTTGATGAATTCTATTAGTTACAATTATTTTCCAACCTCTTCTTATTAGAGAAAAGTCTTAAAAGGGAAAGGCCAACTATCCAATCTATTTTCAACTGTATATGAGACTGACTGCAATGGAGATTATCATCACCAACCTTTCAGAGGGAGTTATCTGAGCTAGCTGGAGCTCATCACTACTCACTCATGTTGGGTAAACACATTTACAGGAGGTAAGTCTGGAAGGTTTTACAGACCCATTCTCCCGACACTGGCCCAGTAGTTCCATGGTCATATTTAACAAACGTACCTCTTCCCCAAATTTAAAACTTTATTAAAAAAAACCCCGTTTAGTTTGTTTTGGCTATAATGAACTTTCTTGTATCTTGAAGGTATGTTGTTTGCTTTTCCTATAAAGTAGTGTCCAGAAATACAGTTTGAAACCTCTTTATATGGGCGCATCTGATCTTTCTTTCTTCCTTCTTCGGACAATCTGTCCTTCCCTTGAGGGTTGGCTGGCGTGAAAGGGTTAAAGGTTCTCTGGTCAAAATAGCCCAACAGAAGGAGCCCGGCCCAGAGCTGAAATCTAAGTGCTAATGACCGCTGCCCTTCACCCCGCTGCTGTCCACCGGTCGGACCTGCGGCCCGGTGGGGGCCGGGACTGGGAGAGGGCACAATGTTCTGCATTTAACATTTGAACTTCTCCTATCCGAGGCAGCAGGCCGTTTTGTCCTGGGGTCGCTGACCCTGGCTCCCCCATCAGCTGCCCTGAAACCTTAATTGAATGACAGATGGTCATTTTCGGGGGCGCCAGAAGCTGCCGGCGGTCAGCCGCGCGGAGGCCAGTCTCAGGCCCCAGCAGTCTTGCCAGGACTCTGCCAGCAAAGGGCGGGCGGCCGAGGCAGCAGGCGGCGGGCGGAACCTGCAGGTCCCGCCGGCGCAACGGGGTCGGTGGGCGTCGGCCCTACGCGCGGCTGTGCTCTTCCCAAGAAAGCCCCGGTCTACCGGGCTGTTTCGCCGGGTCCTAGTGCCCTTGACTGCCTCCCAAGTCGAGGATTCAACGAACACTAGGCCCAAACTAGGCCAGTTTGCAGCCTGGCCCGGCCTCTGGCTGCTGGAAAGAAGCAGAAAATGGACAAAAACTCTCCACATAGGCTGATTCCCGCATCCTCGGGCCCCAACAGAAAGGTCTGGGACTGGCCCAGGCTCGGTACTCAAGCCCAAGATGCCCAGCCCCAGGCCTGACCCGCTGGTCAGGACCCAGGCCAGCAAGAGGTGGGATCCTGAGCCGCACGCCCGGCCGCATGCTGCCTGCCCTAAGTCCCCCACGTCGCCTTCTCCCCCAACCCATTCCTTCCAGGAAGCAACGCCGTATCCCTGTTCTGGCGGATACCCCCTGATGGCCCCTGGCTAACGCCGGGTGCTGCAATATCGAAATCACACTACTGCGGGGAGCTTTAGGGTTCCCAGGTAAAAGATGAGCGCCCCAAAAGGACCCCGAAGGTACCGCGACCCAACCGTGCCGCTCAGCCGCCTGCCTGAGCCCTAGTGTCCTATTTCTTTAAAATAAAAGCTTCGAGCCCTACAATTACTGGGATTACAGTGAGCGAGTATTGATCTGCAGCCAACATTGTAGGATCAAGCGGACGGGAGGAGGTAGACGTCGCCGGCCCAGCCCCCCACCATGTCGTCTTCCAAAGCATTAAAAAAAAAAATTCTAAATATTTGATTTCAGACACACCATCAACACCTGCTGCAAAAGAATGACTACCCCCACCCCCAACCCCAGAACGGCCACACCTCCTCGCCTCTCCGCCCTTGGGCCTCCCAGGCCCAAGCCAGCGACGCCGCCACCTTCAGTCTTTATCCCCCCCCCTTAATTACTGAGGGAAAATATACACATAAGCAAAAAAAAAAAAAAAATCTCGGGCAGGCGCGAGAGGGGGTGGTGAGGAGGATGGCGAAGGCGGTAATGCAACCCTAATGCACAGATAGCTGACATCAACTTCCGTCAGGCAGCTCCTGGAGATCGAACCTTTCGATTGTAACTGGGACAATTTGCATAGTGATTCCCTTTCAGAGCTTTCCCGGGTCCATAACTAGCCCAGGCAGCTATTCAAATGCAAGTTGCATCCCCCAAATGCAAGGCTGGCCTGACCAAAAAGAGCCACACGGCGCCGGGAGAGGCGAGACTCGCGCCACGGTTCTCATCCTTCTCTTTTCTCCTTCCTTCTCCCTTTCTCTTCTCCGGTTCCTGATTTAGCTGGGAGCTATTTATTTATGACTACAAATGTGTGTGCGCGAGCCAGAGAGAGAGGGAGGGAACTGATCTTTGCTTGGACTTAAAGATGGAGACGAAGGAGCCGGAGGGAATTGGGGTCTGTGTGTCTGGCTCAGACCCTAGGCGCTGAGGGGGGCCGCTGGGCATCAAGCCCAAGGTCTTTCTTCCCGGCGCCCCGTATTCCGCGACCTGGCAGGAATCCGTGGGCCAAAGAGCGCCCCGGCTGATCCGCCTGCCCCGGGCCGGGCTACAAGGAAAGTCTTGGAGCAGGGGGCCGTCCCGTCCCTGTCTTTAAAATGAGCGCAATAAAAGGTATTACCTGCTACGTGTGCCGATTACTTTCTCCTGCTCTGCACTGGGCGAAGAGGGACTGATTTATAATTTCCGGGCAGAGGGAGGAATTATGGGCTTAAAATTCTGTTCCCCGTTTTCCTATTTCTTATTTGAAATTATGCAAATTGACTCTCGTTTCCCTCCCTCCTAGGGGCAAATCCTCGAACGCGAACCTGATCGCATGTCACAGAAGCAACTTGCCATGAAATCCGCTAATGCGCCGCGACTCGCCCACCAGGGTAAGCCAGTCTCAAGGCGTACGTGGCGGTAGGGGGAGGAAAAGAAGGGGACGATAGGCCGGAGCAGACTCCAGGGGCCTGGCCACTCTGGTCCACTGCTGAGATTGTGGCAACACACACACACACACACACACACACACACACAAAGGTAGAAGTCACCGGCGGAGGGCAACGCCAGCGTCACCGCTGGAGAGCTGAGCGGGGCCGGCTCCCTCCCAGCCTGCGTGCCCGTCCACGGCAGGTAACAAACGGGTCCTCCCTGGGAGTTTAAAGTGACAAATGAGAGTGGAGACCGGCCCTCTGAGTAGGGTGTAAATAACACGGGCGTGCCCTGCGCCGGTGGCGGGTACGCCAGCTAGAGTCTCCGGTTTGTGCGAGGTTCTCCCTCTAGGCAGCGTGCGGTGGCTAAACGAACCTGTTTCTCAGACAGCCCTGTAAGAAACCTAGCCATCTCGATTCACTTACTGGGGAAAATCCCCAAATTGAAACTTTTCTGCACTTCCCTAGTCTAGCTCACTGTTTCTAAATTTCCCTCTTGCTCGTTGTCTCTCCAAATCCAACCCAAACCTGCTAAAGATGATCACAAGCCACACTGATCTTGCAGAACTGACCGTTAACTCGGTGGCACAACCAGCTCCTCTAGTCAGAGGAAATTAAAGAGGTGGCTAAATTCGTATGTTTTGCTTTATGTGGTGAGCAAAATATAGGGTTTTTGGTTTTTTTAAGCCTTCTGAAGTAGTCAAACACATTTTCAAATGTTCTTTACTTGTATCTGTTCTGGTGCTGGGAGCTGTCTGGGAGTGAGCTTTTTCATTGTGCCTTTTTTTTAAAAGTCTTGGTATCTTTTAAATATGTAATGTTTCTCTGATCATTTCACAATAAGCATTCTAACGACAAGATAAATAAGAGAGCAGTTGGGATCATACGGTGAGAAAAGCAGAGTGGATAGGACAAATAAACCCAATATAAAATGAAAACAAATTGAGCAGATGAAATTATTATGTAAGGAGATGAAGGAAATAGTTTATCAGAAAAAAATGAGATTATGGCCTGAAGTTTCCAGATTTTGATAGTAACACAAACCAAATCAAAAGGAATTAAATATTTTCCTTTGCCCCTATATGTACAACCAAAGAACACAGGCCCTCATGGCCATCTTGATCAAATGCACGTTTTGAGGCATTTCAAAAGACAATTCAGCTTTGGGACATTTGCATACATTTTTGGTAAACTACAATCAATTAGGTGACATTTCATCCTGGTGGAAAACAATTTAAAATTTATTTCTGCCTTTAGGAAGAGAAGAAATGGAGCCCTTGCAGTTAAATTATTACTGGCTTCTACAGGGTTAATTTGATGCAAATAATCTACTCTCCTGTCAACATTGAAGGAAAAGGTAGTGGCCTGTGGAACAACAGGAAGAGCCAGTCAGGTAGTGACAAAACTCTGCCTCTGGGTTCTGAAGAAGGTATCGGAAGGCTCTGAACTTAGCTTTGGGTTTGTTGCACCGCATTCCCTCTCTTAAAACAGTAACTCAAGATGTAAGTAAAAGTGTTTTCATTTTTTATTGATCCCACTAACATCTTTCATTATCCAGCATGTAGCCACAGCAAATTATTGCTCATTTGATACCAAGAATTCTATTGACCATCGCTTTCGTTGGAGAGAGAATTCTAACTACTAGCTGCTCTGTAGTCAGTCAGAGCTGAGGCTGAGAACACTACACAGCTAAAACAAGTAAATTGAGCCCTCTGCCTCCAGGAATTGATGGAGATGTGTTCATTACATTGGGCCACGTGAACATGCATAGAAATCTGCTTTTTGCTCTGCCAGTCGGCATTGCCCCCATGCAATCAAAAGGTCGGCCCCTTTGGAACAGAACTGTCTAATTGGAGGGCTGGACATTCGTTTGCCTCTCCTGTATCCCTTCTGGCAACTTCTTTTCAGCTCTGGCCAGGTTGGGTAATGAAATGATGCATTAGAAGATACCAAATGTGGACACAATTATTAAAACCGCGCCTCCTTTAAAGAAAAAAAAACAACTCCTAAAATGTCTAGATGAGTGACTTTATGTAGTCACTCATAATTTCCTAAATAAAATTGCTCCATTCCCACCCCCTCAAAACTCCATGTCATTAGATACAGGCTAAATTGTCGGGGGACTGGGGAGCTCTAAGATCTGTGTCTGTTCTCCCTGGTCGGCAATGGGCATCCAGCCTCAATTACAGGGGAGACTGCTCCAGCGCTTGCTTCAGCCAGTGGTGCAGAGAAGTCTGTGTGCCTAGAGAAGGCCTGACCTTCGACCCTCCAGGCTGGAGAGGGAGGTTCTTGGGTGAAGATGCTGGAGAAAGGATCTGATAGAGCAATGGGAGAGGCCAGGTTTGTTCCCTTAGAAGCTAATGGCAGAACCTGTCTTCATGCTGAAAGGAGCTAGTGCTGCCCCACAGCAAGAACCACCGGACACCTGGACCTTAGGGCGTCTTCTCCATCCCCAAGGTGGCCTAGACAGACTTTTCTGTAGGGATCAACACGTCCTCCATTCAGGCGTCTGAGGGAAAGGCAAAGGACTCTGGGGGTGCATTGGCCTGAACAAGACAGGTGCAAAAACAGAAATTCAAGCCTGTTTGGATGGGGAAGAGAGGAATGCTGTCAGATTTCCAAGGAACCAAGGATCCACATCTATTTCTCCTTAAGCCCTTGATCCCAATAGGAGAGCAAGATAACCTTGGAGAAACCATGCCCGTGGAGATTCCTCGGAGGAGATGGTTGGGTGTCATTTCCACAACTACCAGGAGATAAGCCTTCTCGGTTGGGTTCCAGAACAAAAAGGAGGACCAGTTACTAATTTCACAAATGAATCCTGGCATGTGTATCCCAAACAGCGTCAATTCTCAATTGGAAGGTGCATTCAGGGGATCTAAGGAACCCAGCTTTGTATTATTTTCCTAATGATGCTGTTACATGTGTGTGAAACCACTGGCACTCTCGTGGGCCACGCTCCATAACCTTTCATGGTCAGGGAGTCACTTTGTTCCAGTGTGGGCAGTGAACTAGTGGGAGTGTGTGCTTCACATGCAGGATGCTCACCCAAAAGTAGTAGACTGAATTGGTTTGAGGATGATGGGAAACATAAGATGAAATATACACTGCGGTTTTTTGTCTTTGCTTTTTTAGTTTTTCTATTTTGTTTTTAATGAAGATAAATAACCTTGGGCTCAGGTGTAATCAGTCCTCCCAAACACAGTGATATTCCTAGAATGTGCACATCACCCATAACACTTGAAGATTCCAGCCCAAAGGTTTTGGAAACCCCTTTTCTGGATTCCAGCCCGGATTCTGAAAACCTCTCAAGCCTCCGAGGGGAAGAGAACTCACCCCACCAAGCAGCTGAAACTACACACTCACAGCACACACAGGGGTCTAAGGCTGGATTCGATCAGGAAGGCCAGCTGAGCTAACCAGAGAGTGTATGACTCTACTGGAAACCAAAAACCAATAAGTCAGCAACACTCTAAAGTCATTTTGGGGAACAAGACCTGGAACTTGAGTTTGAGTTGAAAAGTTAGGGACAAGGGACAGATCACCCAGCATTCCTCTGGAACAAGGCAAACTGAGAACTAACCAGCTGCACTGGCATTGCAGCAAATTAGAGATTAGGAAATTTATTTCCCTTCTACATACAGTAAGACACAAATCCTTCAATCTGGAGCTCACCTCTGTGCAGGGAGCATCGGGCTCCCTACATTGCACTTTCCAAGTGGCCCACTAGCCTTCTCCAGGTTTTGCCAGGCAAATGAAGCAAGAAGTACTCGATAGTAAATTATTTTGTTCAGGCTTCTGTCTTTTTATGAAAATAAAAGCCAACACTTTGTCATTTTTAATCACATAAGCAGACAATAAATCTAATTTTGATATTGATTTTTTTCCAGAATCAAGTGATTTTTTGCAGTGTCTGTTGTGTTTCCTTTCTGAAGAAGGACCTTGTGTTTGAGATGGTGCGGCAATGAGACTGAGTCTATGCAGCCAGAGCTTTTCTGAAACACGTAGTTGATTGTGGACTTTGAAAGCAGATAGCTGAGATTTTTCTCGAGTGGCAGGAAGCTTCATTTTTCTCTAATTATCTAAATAACAGTTTCAACTTAGCCACTCCTGGCAAAGACAGTTAAGGCTTGACTGGTGTTTTCAGTGATTAAGGCCTCTGAGATGAACTTTGTTTTAAATTTTTTAGTAAAATCAAGTAAATAAAAACAATAACCCCAAAATATGAAGCTGTCAGGGGCCTACACCACGGCACTGTGGAGAATTAGCCAGAAGAGCTGCCCACACAGATGACAAGCCCCAGACTTCAGACCTGGGTCACTGGAACATGGATAGTAGTAGCAAAGACCTAGCTGAGAAGCACTGTGGAAGCCAGTTACAGCAAAGTCTCAGTGGCTCACCTGAGCCTCCTTAGTCTCTCTCCTTTTTCAAAAACAAGATTAGTTTATGTTGATGCCAAATGAAGCCAGCACTTTTCATATGAAAGTACAGATGTACAAAGATCTGCACCAGACCCCATCTAGAGAAGGAGAGGGAAGGAATAAAGAGCAAAGTTAGAAGTAAAGAATAAGAACAATATGGAGAAAGGGGGGAGGAAATAAGAAAAGTGGAGAAGGAAGGAAAGAAGGGAAAAAATGAAAAGGAAGAAGTGAGAAGACAGAAAGGGAAGGGAAGGGAAGAGAAGTGAAAAAAGCTGGGGAGAGATGAAAGGCTGGTGAAGAGGAAGGAAAGAAGAGGAGAGACAGAGAGAGAAATTTTAAAGTATATAATGAAGAAAAATGCAAATTTGTCCAGTCTATGAGAAGGAAAGTGAGATTGCTCCTATCTACCTGAGCCTTTTCTTGCAGCTCCCGACCGCCCCTCCTCCCTTCCTACTGGAATCCAAAAATTTAAGCTTAGGTCTGGCCTCTCTGTGCTGCCAGAAGGGGACCACCAATAGCTACACAAGCTTCTCCAGCACCGTGCCATTGCTACCAGGGGTCGACCCCTGTACGACTCAGATGGTAGAGGACCCTGGCTGGGGGAAGGGACCAGACGGCTCTACGCCCAGCAAAGGGGGGATGGGACCTGGGCCTGCGATTGACCCTCGGGCTCTGACCTTTCCCGCCGTCCTCTAGGGTCAGGATTTAACCTTTCGCTTCCCCACCCTGCGCCCTCCTCCTTCTCAGTGGCCCTTGGCTAGAGGGGAGGAGAGAGTGGGTCGATATTTGGGGCTGGCAGGGAGGGGGGCCGGCGCCTGAGCCGAATTACTGTAGGATGGGGCTTACTTAGACCAGAGAGTCCATTCTCTCCCCCCCCCCCCCAGGAACGCCGAGCCTAGCGGATCCCGCGCTTGCGGGAGAGCCGGATGCCAAAGCCCATTAAACTTGGGGCCTGGTAAAGAACCCACTAAGACACGGGGAAGGAGAACAAGCTTTTTCCTCAGTTTTTCCGCCCCGTCTAGAACCGTTTCTCTTCGTATAAAACCCTTCCTCTCCTGCTCAGGAAACGGCCACTAGTTTGCATTTGGGAGAATCCCGAGAACCTTAGCCAGATGGGCAGGAGGCATCAGTGCAGACCCGGACCAGGGTCCTCCCGGCACGGTCAAAGCATTAGACGTCCCTCTGGGGGCAGGTGCCTAGAGAACCAGTAGAGAAATCGGGCCAAAGTCCCAAGCCGCTGGGACCCACTGACCTTGCTACCTGTCCCTGCCCAGACAGTAGAGGGACAAGCCTCTCGCCAGCCCTATTCCGCCAACTTCCAAACGCTTCAGCGACCGGCGCCCCAGAAGGCTCTCCCCGCGGGGACCAAGGCAGAGGGAGCAAACCGGAGGCTGCTGAGGCCGCCGGAGAGCCCCTGGCTCCCCAGTTCCGCGTGGCTTGGGGTTTTCGCGGTCTCCCCAGCTGGAGCCAGGGCCGCCAGGAGCCAAGAGCGTTAGGTTCAAATGCATCAAAGCTCTGAAGTCATTTATCCGGTTTCATAAATAATTTTCTTATTACACTTAAGCCCGATCCCTGCCCCCTTCCCGTTTTTTATTGCGGGGTTTCAGTGGCTAAAAAGTTTCTAAGTCGGGTGGGCCGTTGTTTTCCTTTTTCCATCATTAACATCATTAATATAAGCTATCAATAACCCTGTCGTTGGGAGCCGAGTTTCACGGTATTGATCCACGCAGCTATTCATCTCTGCCATGCAAGACACGGAATAATTTTCGCATTACAGTAGCTTGGATTTGCTTTTAATTCATATTTAAAGCTGCAACCGGCTCAGTGGAGCGCTCTGCGAAAGACTAGAGGCGCCTAATTAATAATAAGTTAGAAACGAAGGAAGGCACCGGCGAATAAATAATTAATACAGACATCTATGTCTCTTTGAATATTGCTCCTTTAAAAATTTAGACTTACCAGGACTATACTGTAAGTCTGCAATTTATATTGCGGGGATGATTTAAGAAAGCTATTTTTCCCTTGAAATACAATACTAAATAATTTAGTGTTTTGCAAACCTAAGTTTCTTCATTGGCCAGCTCTTCTGGTTTGTTTCTTCCAGGTGGAAAACACCATTTTTTAAAATAGTCATAATAAGATTCATAAATATCCAACCATAACCACCAGATTCATTTCAGATGGCTAGAATGGGAGCAAGATGGCTGAAAAGCCCAGTTTAGGGTCTCCTGCCTTGGAGAGGAGCTGGGGTTGCCACATATAAGATGGGGTTTTGTTAGGGAGAAAACAACAACAAAAAAAAAACAGTCACTGGCCACTGACTTTAGGCTTTCACTGGTGCTGGAGGGAACAGAGTTTGAAGTAAAACCCAGGGTCTTCAAAAGATGCCAGGAGAGAAAACGCTGGGATTTAGAGGGTCCCTGATTTCCCCCATGGCAAAAGCGAAATCAGAATCTTTAGAGAAGGGCTCTTAAGACAGGATTGTATTCCAGGATAGCCAGGACCTACCTGTGGGCTAGAGGCAAATAACAAAATTCAAGGAGGTAGGAATGACTGAAAACCCTTGGAGGTTTTTGTGTGAGACTAGGATTTGTTTGCAGTGTTGTTAGCAATATTGATTTTTTTGTTACTCGGATTAATGTATGTTAAACAGGAAAATACAGGCAGTAGTCAAGTGTATTATAATCATCTATTGTTTAGAGTGGAAGTTTCACTGTGTGGATGATGGTGCATTTGGACTGAGAGGCAATTCCAGGTATCTCCAAATGTTCTAGGTTCGGTGCAGCAGAACCCCCAAGAGGACTGGCAGTGGGGCCTGAGGGGGAGCTAAACCTGCAGTTCAGTAGCCTTCTCCCCCTTTAAAATTACAACCTCACCTATAACCAACCCACTATCTGAAAGTATCAGCCTCCACTCTGGACCTCCCTGGTCCTCTAAATTAATTTAAGAACTAAAGGATGCAGGTGTTCCTGTCCATCAGGGTCTCCAAAAGCTCTTCAACCTAAAACCCAGATTCCCCACAGCCCCACAGCCCCACCACCAGGTCTCTTGGCCCTAGTGACCATCCAGCCAACCTCTGGGACTTCCTTTCAGGGCCGGGCACTTCCTCAGCAAAGCATTGGAGGCCTTCAAGCCGGGCATGGCGCACTGCTGTCCTGCCTACATACAGATACCGGCCCACACGTGTTAGGCCTGAAAAAGACACCGGACCGGGAGGAAAACTCAGGAACAGCTATTCAGGAGCGCCTGGAGACTCTCCTGCCTGGACCCTTGGACCTTGGGAGCGGGCCGGCCCAGAGAACCTCAGAGAAGACAGTTCCCCTCCCCCTCTACTCCCCACCTTCCCCCTCCCCCCTCACAACAGCTGTGCTTTTGGGGCGCTCGGCTCCTGCCAGTCCACAGGTCCTACGTCCCTGCCCAGCATTGGCGCGTTAGAGATCAGTCTGTGTACTCCCAGCTTTTCCTCCTAACCCCACTCCCGAGCCCTGGGTCACCGCATTTATGCCACAAGACCCCGAAAAGCTCTCATGCACAAAAACTAAAGGACTCTAACATGATCCCTCGAGTATCGGGCTAGTTCAGGAAGGAGCAAGCCGAGCAGGGGTCTGGGGAAAATACAACTGGACGCTTGGAGACTCCATAATCCTACGCCTGAACGGCTCTCAGGCCAAAGGGCAGGTGCACTTGCCCTGAGCCCCGGGTCCGAAACGCGGGGGCTGGTTCTTGTGCCAGCCAGAGGCGGAGGGAAGCAGAGGAGGTGGCCAAGAAGCGGAAGGCCGACAGGGTGGGAAGGGCAAGAAAAGAAGGTAAAGTATCAGAAGGCAAGTGTGAGAGATGAAGCGGGAAGGGAAAAGACTTGGGAGAAAGCAAGAAAAGGCCGGGATCCAGGCCCAGCAGGCCCCAGGAGAGAGACCCAGGCAAGGGGTGAGGAAACCAGAACACCAGCGTTTTATTTTTAAATCTTCTAGGTGTCTGCGGGTCAAATAAAGACAAGGGCGGTAACGATTATTCTGTTAAATCTATGGTACTTGACTGCGCAAACACTAATTGATTAGACACCAAAATGATTTGTTTAAAGAGTTTTCCTTCCCAAGTGCAGCTGCTCTCAGGTCCAGGTCGGCGTTACCCCGCGAGACTGCGGAGGAGTTCGCCAAGTGGGCCCGGCGCCCGGCCGCCCAGCCCGCAATCCGTGTAGGGTCGGGCGGCTGGTCCACGCTCCATAGGCCTGAGGGTACAGGCTGGGCGGCATCCCGTGACTTCTGCTCTTAGGGACCACCCCGAAGGGATTTTGCTACACCCGCCTCCTCTAAATTGCACCGAGGAGGAACCCCTCTCTTCCCGCTCTCCTTTCCAGTCCTCAGCCTTGGAAATCAACACCTGCCCCTGGTTAATTCGGCGTACTGTCCCCCAAAAGTGGAAGCATCGAAAGAACAGCATTTCTGGCAGTCTAAAGCCTGG